TCTAGAAATGATACCTATATATTGTGCTAAGTTTACTGCCAACTATTACATCATCCATTTGTCAATGAAATAGCCTGATTAAATCGCTTTTGGCGGCCGCCCAACATCCAGCCGGCCCCCGAAGGGAAGGGGCCAGTTAGCCGCGGACGGCAGAGTTAATGCGTTATAACGGCAGTGAACCTTAATCCGACACTTTTATGCACAGGCAAGATTGAATGATAAATCCACAACCAGACATTCGGTATTTTTGTTAATCATTTAGTGCATCTTGTAGAAATTGTCGATGTTTTTCAAGACCACCGTCCTTCCGGAAGCTTCCTCCCACGACATGCCTACCAGTGTAAAACAGGCTGAAAATTTTCATGACCTCGTCTCCACAACATGTTGACTTCGTTAGCTCATTGTTTCAAGGTTTTAGGCTGTGTACCTTATTGAGTTTGTAAAGCAATTAAAAGATTTTGCATATCAGTGCTAGATCCTAACAGACAGAGGAGTGTTGAAAAGTGTCGGATTAAGGTTGTGTCGGATTAAGGTTCACTGCCGTTACAGACTTAATCTCCAAGCAGATCTTTTGGTGGGGGTAAAACAGTGTTATAGTTGGGGGTTTATGGGGGTTTATAGGCGCTACCAACTGACCCAGCCAAGGGGTCTAGACCTTTTAGCGGAGAGGTTAGAGTGTCTGCCTGTGGACTGGTTCTACTGTCTCCTCCTGGTTTCTTACAACAGTATCAAATTGGCCAGTCTGTATCCATTTCCCCACCCAAGTGGAGATTAATACAGACTATCAATGAAATAACTACTGTATGTGAAAAATAAATTTAAAAGCGCTCATGTCATCCATAAAATTACTTGCCGCAGCCGTATGGCGAGATATACCTTATACATGTACCCTGACCTTATAAATTATTAGGTTCAAATAATTAAAACCCTAGCCTCCACCAGGCCTTTCTACGAATCGTAGAATTCGGCAAAAAAGAGAGTTAAATTGGCCAAGGGAGTCCGGCCGCGGGGAGGTAGTTTTTTTCCCTCCGACGTGTGCGGCCAGTCAAACCTACAAGGCGGCCAAACTCCCCTGGCAAATATTCTCCCATATATAGCCATCGTAGTTAGTCTGGTAGACTAGTTCTTACCTAGCAGGCAAAAGTGTGGGAAAGGTCCTCACAGGAAGGAAACACCCACACAGCACTAATTGAGTAATTCTTACCACATTTTCCGAGTAGGACACAAAAGGGGTCATTCACCCCCCTCCGGTAACTTAAAGACTTAATTATCTTCACGCTAATTAACTTTGAACCAATCAAATCGTTCCGTACAAACCTGGAGTCGCCTTGAGAAGAAAGAGTTGCTCTGATTGGCCGAAGTACGGCCCATCCCAAGTGGAAGGTGGGATATGGTGGGACCTTACCAAAACGTCCCGTGCTGGGAGGTCCCGTTATAACATTTCTGACGGCTTTTCCAGGATAATTTGGGCCTTTTCTTCGTTCTTGGAAGGGTGTGCAATATTTAGAGAAGAAAACTGTAAGATATATGAAGCCCAGACGACAGAAATACGCCCGAAAACTGCACAGATTATAAGCGACTGTCTGGTCTGGTCTGTTTGTTTTTGTCGGAGAGGCCCAAGGCCAAGAGAGTTGAAACGTCTTGTTTCTCGGCAAGAAGGTAAGTTTTCTGGTCTGCTTCTTAGTAAACGTTCGTCTGCAATTAGTTCTGGTATAGATATTTTCTGTGTCTGTGAAATATTCCGAGCAGAAAATTCATCTGCTGTTCAAGATTCTTGTTTGTTTTCCCTCGAAAGCTGTCTAACTTTCTTTATCTGGGTCAGATCAGTACTGAAAACGGATCATAGTGGGACGCTTTCCCAGAAGACTTGTTGAATAAATGTTTCTCAACAAGATCAAGGCAAGGAGGTTCAAAAAGAAATTGAACCTCCTTGACGAGACGTAACTTTTCCTTGTGTAACGTACATATATGTCAGGCTGCAGGGAAATTTATGGTTCACATGCTGGAAAAACACTCAAAACAGCCATCTTGAATTTCTAAGAATCTGTCAGTGTCGCATTCCGACGACTGATTTATATGATTAAGGGTCACGCCACACATGGCCGCATGGACAGAAGATTATTTTCAAGATATCATGATTTTCGAACGTGATTCTGCAAAATATTTGTTGCCAGGCTTCAAAGTTTAAAAATTATGATTTTGCCTTTTCACTGGGCAAGGATGCTCAAATTTAGTAAATATTCAGTTACTACTACTTGTCAACTGTAAAAAACAAAAAATCTTGATTTGTTTATTTTTACACTGGGGCAGACTGGTGCAAATCTCTGTTCTAGATCTAAGGGATGGGTTCTTTGATCAATGTTTTTGCCACTCTTCAAACAGGAGACATAGCTACAAGTTTTATGCCAATCTGGCGAACCAACTCTTCAAGCAGAGGTTGTGGGGGAGTGACCGTTAGCTATGTATATATGGCCCATTTTTTAAATCGCTACCCCCACCTAAGACCTTGAGTGGCGCATTGGACCTTCTCTGGCAAATTGATACTGGCTGGCCATTTACTGTCTTTTGCCACCCTAGTATCTGCTTGAAGATTAGGTTTAACCCTAACCCTAACCTCAAAAAGGCTACCTTTAGTCTTTACCTTTTTTGTTAATTAAAGTTTTGTGTCCTTGATTCCTTGTTGTTTCTCTCTCAGTAGAGAGACCTTGAGCAGCCATGTCGCAACCGCAGGGCAGGGCCCGTGGCAGGGCACGAGGCAGGGGCAGGGGAGCAACGGACGAACCTCCGCCGCGCCGACCAGGCACTCAGGCAGCTTACCAAGGACAGCCCGGGATGCAGACCTCTCAACCAATGGCAGCTCAGGGTCGGGGTGGCCCACCAATGACAGGTCAGGGTGGCCCACCAATGGCAGCTCAGCGTGGCCCACCAATGGCAGCTCAGCGTGGCCCACCAATGGGAGTGCAGTATGCCGTAGGCCAACCAATGGGAGCACAGTATGCAGTAGCCCCACCAATGGGAGCACAGGGTGATGTGAGGCCACCAATGGCAGCTCAGGGTGGACCACCAATGGGAGCACAGTACGCTGTAGGCCAACCAATGGGAGCACAGCACACTGTAGGCCCACCAATGGGAGCAGAGGGTGGAGTTGGACAACCAATGGCAGCTCCCGTTGCAACTGGCAGAGCCCGACAAAGGGGAGGGGCAACAGCAAGAGCACCTGGAGGTAAGAGATTTGCTACAGAGAAAGTTTAGTTTGTTGACTTGTAGTTGTTTGTTCAAGGTAGACATCAGAAATACCTTCACAATTTTACCTGAACTAATCTGCATATACCCAGTACATGGACCAGTGCAGGTTAGGTGCAGGTAGACATCAGAAATACCTGCACAGCTCCAATTTTACCTGCACTAACCTGCATATACCCAGTACATGGTCCAGGGCAGGTTAGGTGCAGGTAGACGTCAGAAATACCTGCACAGCTCCAATTTTACCTGCCCTAACCTGCATATACCCAGTACATGGACCAATGCAGGTTAGGTACAGGTAGACATCAGAAATACCTGCACAGCTCCAATTTTACCTGCACTAACCTGCATATACCCAGTACATGTATAAGTAAGGTATATATGCAGGTGGTATATCAAGCCATGGCGGTGAAGTCTGCCATCTCTCTGGGGTCATGTGGTGTAATGGCAGAGTGCTCGTCTTGGAACCAAGAGGACCCGGGTTCGACGAGTCCTGACATGCCACCAATGTTATGCCCTCGGGAAAGGCACTTGACATGACTTTCCTCCCTTAATTCAAGTGAAAATGAGTATTGTTGTGTGCTGAATTTGTTTCTATGTGTGGGACACACCACCTAGCCTGAGTGTCAGCCTTGTTAGCTTTCGTCCGCTAACAGATCTTGAAGAGCGGACAAAAGCTTAAACAAGGCTGACACTCAGGCTACACAACACCAGCAACAGCTACATATACCTGTGTCCCATGTGCACTGTATTGTTACAATTTCAATGAATCAAATCTCTGACTGCCTTCTTCTTGTCCTTTCGCAGCCCCGCCCACTTCCCAGCTGGAGGCCCTGACCCTGGGGGAGCGTGCCCCGGGGGTGGGGACAGGAGCGTCAGGAGGAGGAGGGGAGGGGTGGTGGTGGAGGAACCCCACACCAGACCTGAGCACATGGCCAACAAGAGAGTTGAGCCTGACAAAATTACATGGGGGCGTGCATGGGGGGTCCCAACAAAGTTCTACGCTAAATTTTGAGAGCTCTAATCTTGATTTATGCTTTACCGTTTATGATAAATTCCAAGTGGCTACAACGCATTACGTAGAATTAAAATGGCAAATACGCTTTATGCAAAATGCTCTACGTCGAATTAGAGAGGTCCGTCTATGTTCTATTTAGAGTTAAACAGAATTACACTCTACGGAAAAGGGTACTAGTATGTGTCCTCTATTTGCCCCAAACTGCAATAGAGGACAAAAGATCCTTGGCAGCTGAAGTAAGGCTGGATCATAGAATGAATCGTAATGAGAATTGGGAGCTGCCCAAGTCCTACTTACCCCGTCCTTAAGAGGCCAGAGAGACCTGCGCACGTCTCAATCTAGTCTCGTCAGGCTTTTAGCTAGGATTTTTTTGTTGGGTGTCCATTTTTTTTGTATGCCATGAAGAGCTTTTGTGACAAGCTTTTTGGGGGGGGGCTTTTTTGAAATTCATAATGCTCTACTTGCACTTTCTGCATTTTGAGGTGCAAATTTTGAGGAATTTGAGTTTTTTCCTTCAGTAAACCATCAATTTTGTAATTAGACTAAGGCTGAAGGGAGGCATGTGTGCATGGCAGGGGTTGGGAGTGGAAAAAATAGGGCGTCTTTAGGGTGTCCTACCAAAAAGTAGGGCGTCCAATTTCTTACTATTTTCAGTACAGGGCGTCCAAAAGACACCCTAGACACCCCCTAGCTAAAAGCCTGAGTCTCGTGTTCTCCCAAGACTAAGTAACTCTTTGACCAAGGCGTACAGTGGACGTCAAAAATCTGTAGGTACGTGTTTGCTACCTTTTAAATACCGATTGGTGAATGTACTAAGTTTACCAACTGTTGAATATTGTACCAATCGTTGTTACCGCAGGCACTACAGGAAACCCTGTCAGCATGATCACCAACTTCTTCCGGGTGAAGCCGCAGCCCGACTGGGTCCTGTTCCAGTATCACGTGGAGTTCTCGCCGGAAGTGGATCACCGCAAAGCTCGCATCGCCATGGTCTGCAGCCAGGAGGATCTCTTAGGACGTACCAAGATCTTTGACGGGATGATCCTTTTTCTGCCCAGGAGACTGGAAAAGGATGTAAGAACATTTTCTTACCATTGAAACAGAAAAAAAGCAAAGGATGCCAAGAAAAACACACTTCTTGCAGGTACCAAGATAAATGATGGCATGGGATTGGGAAGATCCTTTTTCTGCCCAGGAGACTGGAAAAGGATGATATAAGAACATGGTTGGGCCTACGAAAAAAAATGTTGTGTTTCCTGTTTCAGTCCTGAAAAAATAGGGCCGGTAGGAAGGCATTATTTTTTTATCTATACGGTGGAGTGACGCCCACCGAGCCTCTTTGGCTAATTTGTCTAACTGTGTGCCAAAAACACACTAGGGATTTGGTGCTCCAATGTGTTAACCCTTGTCCTGCGGGGCCCAAATATATATGGGTTGCTCGTACAGTATCATCTACTTAGTGCCCTGTGTATGTGCGATTTGGGGGTGTTTCTCGTGCAACGCATCACACTGCAGCGAAACGCAACAAATGCGGACGTAACTATGCCACCGCAGGGCAAAAAAAGTCCTGTGACCAGATTAAGTAAGAAAATATTGTGTAAAAAATGTCAGCAGGACAATGGTTAACATCAGCACATATGCCAACAACAGCTGTTAAATTTTTTAATTTTTTCTAGCAAACGGTGATAACCACGCAGCGAAAGACGGACGGCTCGCCCGTCAAGATCACAATCACGCTGACCAACGAGGTCCCGCCGACGTCGCCGGTCTGTCTCCAGATCTACAACATCCTCTTCCGCAAGTTCCTGAAGACCATCGGGATGCAGGAGGTCAACAGGAACTACTACAACCCCGGTCAGAAGGTGGACATCCCACAGCACAGGTCAGGAAGAATTAAATCTCAAATTATATCTTTATCATCAGAAAGAAACGAGAAGAAGCCAAACCTCAGTATTAGAAAACTTTTAGAGCTGACATAGTTAGATTAGTCATGTTTGTACTTCAAGCATGTATATACCTTTCATCTGTTCACCTGCACTTGGCCTGATAGGGCATGAATGTACTGTAACAATAAAAGTTTCTTTATTAAAGGCATCCATTGCAATTTCAGGGCGGCAAAACTGAATATACTGAATAACGCAATCTGTATGATATTATTGACACATACAATATACTGTGTCCCACATTAGCAAAGTTGAATCAGTTTTACATGCCTGTATGATTTATTGACTGATTGCTTAATTGATCTCCCCAGACTGGAGGTATGGCCAGGGTTCGTGACCTCCATCCTGCAGTACGAGTCTAAAACCCTCCTGTTGGCCGACGTCTCTCATAAGATCATGCGTACGGACACGGTGCTGGACCTCATGTACGATCTGTACGGCCAGGATCAGCGCAAGTTCTACGAGAAGGCCACCAAGATGCTCGTGGGGGAGATTGTGCTGACAAGGTGAGATTAGTGCTGTGTACCGCCTCGCTGGAACTAGTTCCGGACTTGTAGAAATTTCAAGGTTCAAGTCCAAAAATGTAATATGTGCACTTGTGTAGTCCTGAGTTAGCTGCTCTCTGGACCAAGAGGTTGGGATTTCAAATTCTGGCTGTTCTCAATCCCCCAACATTCACGCTACTGAAAAAGGTCGCAGTCGGAGTCTTTAGGACAGGATGTTAAGCTTCACTGTTCATTGTGCAGTTGTGCTTTCGAAAAGAGCTATGTAAATTTCCCTGATACTATTAACTTGCTTACTGTGCATAAGTGTCTGTCACGACCAGTGGAAGAATAGCTCTTCAGTGAGCTAAAACTGGATCAAGATCACTTCTTCCTATATATTTATTTACAGTTTAATGAATCAAATCCCTTTTTTTTTGTTCCTGTACAGGTATAACAACCAGACGTACAGGATTGATGACATCAGTTGGGAGGAGCACCCGACTGACAAGTTTCGCCTGTCGGATGGAACAGACATCAGTTTTGTGGAGTACTACGAAAAGCAGTACAACCGCAAGATCCAGGACAATGACCAACCTCTCCTGCTTAGCAGGGCCAAGAAAAAGGCATGTCATTGTGTTTGTTTGTTTGTTTGTTTGTTTTATCCTGGAGTACTATGAATGACAGTACAACCGTAAATTCCAGAACGACGACAAACCTCTGCTTCTCAGCAGGGCCAAGAAAAGGGCAAGTCATTTTGTTTGTTTGTTTGTTTGTGTAGGTTGTACTTGTAGAAAACCGGTGTGTTATGCCTAAAGGCAGGGATGTGAAACAAACAAAAAGATTTAGCAATGATTATGATAACAGTTAAACTTTACGTGACCAACACCTAGTAAATTGGGACTTACCCCAATGTAACCCGTGGTCACGTAAAGTTTAACTGTTATCATAATCATTGCTAAATCTTTTTGTTTGTTTCACATCCCTGCCTTTAGGCATAACACACCGGTTTTCTACATGTACAACCTACACAAACAAACAAACAAACAAATACAGGCTATACAGATACAGATACAATCATAATGTTATGTACCAACACAGATGAACTTTCATGCTAAGATTTAGTAATGATGTCTCATTTTCACAATGGTTTTTTTTTTTGCTGCTGTTACAGACAAAGGACGGAGAAGTCCTGATCTTGAAGCTTATTCCTGAGCTCTGTACCCTGACAGGTGGGCCTATTTTTAGTAACTTACATGTGTGTAGTCGCCTCTGCAACCTAACTTGTCTCTGACCAGCGATGGAACACACCTAAGCATAGCTGAAAGACTCAACATTCTGCAGAAATCTAGAAAAGACCTCCTGGTCATTCACGAAGCCAATGCACTTACTGCAAGGCTAAAAGGTCCAGAGCACTTAAACTTGTAAGAATTAGGAGAGTAGAAACAGAAAGACACTTCATGGTCCCGGGCCAGGGATCGAACCCACGTCAAACCCGGGCACCAGTTGACACCCCTACGCTCTAACCATTTGGCTAAAAGTTCTAGACCTGTCAGACAGATCATTTGATAGTACCTATAAACTCCCCACTGTTACAAAATTGCCTGTTGGCAACACTTGAACCCCGATGTCTGTTCTTCGCAGGTTTGACGGATGAAGCGCGTGCGAACTTCCAGGTGATGAAGGATGTGGCTGTGCACACCCGCATCACGCCTGGTGCCAGGAGCAAGACGCTACAGGGCTTCATCAACCAACTCAACAGGTCACTCATCTGCAGAACTATCCGGATTTTCTACAGAATTTTTCTCCTTTTTATGTTTACCAAGGAAAACATGCTGTTTTTGCTATGTTTCCTCTTCTTCTTCTTGTTCCGTTCAAAAACTGACCTCTGACCTGGCCAATGACCTCATTTGTTGACGTCTCTCACCACGGTAACTGGTTTTGGGTTACGTAATGTTGCAATTTTATAGTAGGAGGGATTTATACTCAAGGGATTGGACCAAATTTTCGACTCTATAAGTTATAACTAACTCCAGTTTCCAGGAAGGAGCAATCCACTGCTTCCGTGATGTCATGTTATGCAGATTTTGTGCCCTACAATTTTTGTGCCTTAGCTGCAGCTGGCTGAAGGTTAACTGTTTCCTGCCTCCCCATTACAGCAACCCTGATGTGCAGAAGGAGATGCGGGGTTGGCAGATCGAGTTTGATCAGAACTTACTCCAGCTGGACGGTCGCACTCTGCCAAAGGAGAAGCTCTTCTGTCGAGATGGACACGACGTAGGTCCTTCCTCCAGATTCTCATCGTTGAAGAGATTCATTTGTCACGTATAGATACAGTTACGAGTAGATTCTTTCATCAGTGACAGGTTATCTGAAGGGTGAGAGTCCTAACCTCCAAATTTTCGATGGCTATCAGTCCATCTTGTTCACGGAGTGACCTAATCTCGTGAGAGCGCGAGACTAGGCCCGAGACTTGCATCGGTCTGCCTGGCCCCACCCCTTACTTACCCTTACTCCGGAGGGAGGCAACAGGGGGTGGGGCCAGGCAGACCGGGCCTAGTCTTGGGCCTAGTCTCGCGCTCTCACAAGATTAGGCCACTCCGTGAACAATGTTACGCTTACTATTATCTACGTTAATGAAGATAAAACATCCAGCTAGTACATCAGAATGATCATGAAGAAATTTGTGCACACCAGCAAACGTCTAGGTGCACTACTACTTGCATGACATCGCACATAGGTTGTTTTTTTGTACATACAGAAACATGTGGACTGAAAGTGTCATGATCAGAGAGCAAGAAAGCAAACATACCATCACAACTTTTTGATGGCATATGCTCTAAAAATGGGAGCAGCCTGAAGAGCTATTGTCTTGTATAAAGCTTGAGATAAACTAAGTAGCAAGTACAGTCAAACCTGCCAAGGAGACCACCTCTTCAAGCAGGCCACCTGTCCATGGTGACCGCTTTTTTTTCTCAGTCCCAAAAAATTTCCCCATTCACAGAAGCATTAAGCAACCTGTCCAAGGTGACCACCTGGCCAAGGCAACATGACCAGACCACCCTGAGTTGGGTCAGCTCAAGGCCCAATACCTGCCCATGGTCACCTTTATCATTTTTTATCATCATGTTGATTATTGATGATCGATAACTAATGAGAAATCATGGACAAACCAGCCAGTTTGCCTCAACTACTGGATTATGTTTTTGTTCGACGTAAATTGTTCCATGTGCCGCCCTCCCCACATGCATTTACAGCATTTTACATGTGTACATTAGAACATCTCGACTTGGAAACCATTTATGCCTCAGGCGACCCTCTTCAAGGAGACCACCTGTCCAAGGTGACCACTTTTCTTTGGTCCCCTGGGTGGCCGGCTTGAACAGGTTTGACTGTAGTGGTTTTGATTCTTTTCTAAATGCATCAACTGAGTTTTTTTGCATGGTTTCTTTTCCAGCTTGATTTTAAGCGTGAGAATGCCGACTGGTCGCGCGAGATGCGGAGCCGCGCCCTGCTGAGCACCCGGCCGCTGAAGGAGTGGCTTCTCATCTTCCCCAGGAGACTTGGTCAGAGCGCAAACGACTTCCTCGGCGCCCTGAAACAAGTGGGACCCGCCATGGACCTCCAGATCACCAACCCTGTCATGTAAGGCTCTAAAATTATCATATGAAATGGGAAATAGGACAAAGTCTGTACAATTTAAAAATTATACAGACTTTGTTGTATTTCCCATTTCATGGAAGGCAATCTGAACCAGCACGTCGGCGGAACGTACTGCGCCTGCACAGAACCCTGGAATTTCGCATTTTTCATTCAACTTGGATGTTTGGTCAACGTTGCATCAGAATTTTGCCTGTTGCAGAGGATATCATTTCCGACACAACATTTGGAAACTACTGTAGAAATGCTAACCTTATAATTATATGAGCGAATACGACCTTATATGAGACGCTCTGCCGAAGTGCTATGTACAATACATTACGGGTTTTGCACAGGTGCAGTACGTTCTGCCAACGTGCTCTCTGAACCAGAAAACATGTCTTTGAAAATGAAGGCAGATGAAGTCCCATGCATTTTTTAGTGTATAGGGGCAGTGGGTTGTTGATCCACTGTGTCTAGGGTTCAGTATTGGAAGATGGAGCCCATCCCTCTCCTTCCATTGCCTTTACCTCCCCAACCTAAGTCAGGTACCCATTTTACACCTGGATGGAGTGAGGAAAGTGCCATTCCCAAGGACACAATATCTAGCCAGGAAGGCAAGAAATTGCTCTAGCAACTCGGCAATTCGATGCCACCAAGGACATTATACACATAATGTCCTTGATAATACATTGTACAATATATTTGTAAGTCAAGCAACTGGATGAATTCCGTGTGCTTCTTTCTATCATCAGCTGCATGTGTGTGTTGCAGGGTTGACATCGAAGACGACCAGGCCAGAAGCTACCTGCGCGTGATGAAAGAACTGCTCAAGCCGGGAGTCACCCAGATGGTAGGTCACAATCATAACTAAGACATGAAAGAGGTGCTAGTGTCATGGAAATGAAAAGAAACCTACAGTGGGCCTCACTGGAAGACAGAAGAAAGATGTCCAGACTATGCATGATGTACAAAATGACTAATAAACTGGTGGATGTCCCAACTAATACCTAATACCAGCCCAGAAGAGAACACGAAATAGCCATGCCTTCAAGTACCAGAGTTATCAACCAAGGATTGAGGTGTTCAAGAAATCATTCTTTCCTAGAACTATTGCAGAGTGGAACTCACTGAAATCCTTTTTTCTGCAAATCTGCACTGTTACCTGCACCGGACAAATTTTACCTGCACCACTCAGACTTTGAGAAGTGTGGATCATACTAAAACTGCTCAACAACCATTGCCGTTAAGTTCTAGTAGAAATTTATAATAATCCACAAATAACCACATCTGTATATGAACCAAGTACAAGAGCTGAGGCAGGTTAGGTGCAGGTAGACATCAGAAATGTGGGTAGTTGTATGGGTGGATGGGTGGATGGGTGGGTGGGTGGGTGGGTGGATGGATGGATGGATGGATGGATGGATGGATGGATGGATGGATGGATGGATGGATGGATGGATGGATGGACGGACGGATGGATGGATGAATGAAGACATTAACTGTTTTATTCAAAGAGTTGGATGTCTTCAATGACGTTTTCTTGCCTTTCCACTTCGTCCCCAGGTTGTTTGCATCCTAAAGGGCACGGGAAGGAAGGACACCTATGATGCCATTAAGAAGTTCTGCTGTGTGGAACACCCAGTGCCGAGCCAGGTCATCTTGTCTAAGACTCTCAACAAGAAGCAGATGTTGATGTCTGTGGCCACTAAGATCGGCATGCAGCTGAACTGCAAAATGGGAGGGGAACTTTGGGCCGTAGAGATCCCGGTAAGAGCAAGGAGGTTTACAAATCAAGGAAGAGTAAGAGTAAGGGTAAGGGTAAGGGTAAGGGTAAGGGTAAGGGTAAGGGTAAGGGTAAGGGTAAGGGTAAGGGTAAGGGTAAGAGTTGAAGTGGAGAGCAATATTTGATTTCCATATGTTTAACATCCCTCATAAACTGTATTGAGGAGTGGCACATAAGCCACCTACTCACCTCAGTGAAAGAGAGTTCTGGGCCGTGGAGATCCTGGTAGAGAGCAAGGTAAGATAAAGCAAACTACAGACCTATTAGCTTAACCTGTATTGCTTCTAAGTTAATGGAACATGTTATTTGTAGTAGCCTGATGAAGCATGCGGAACAGAATGATCTCTTCTATCAGCTACAAAACGGTTTTCGACCCGGAAGGTCATGTGAGACACAGCTTCTGGAACTTGTTCATGACATTGTAAACAACATGCAGGAAGGTCTCCAGACAGATGTCTGTGTGCTTGATTTCTCTAAAGCCTTCGATAAGGTAGGCCACAAACGACTCATTCGGAAGCTTCAGTGGTACGGCATTGAACCTCAGACCAGGAACTGGATAGAAGACTTCCTTCATTGTCGTACCCAGTCAGTGGTCATCGAGGGGATGACTTCTAGCAAATTGGATGTCATTTCAGGGGTCCCACAGGGTTCGGTGCTCGGACCTTGCCTGTTTTTGTATTACATAAATGATATCACTGAAAACTTACACTCTACAGCTCGCTTATTTGCGGACGATACCATGATTTACATGACGGTCTCATGCCAGGGTGATTCACTGAAACTCCAGAACGACCTTGATACTTTGGCAGAGTGGGGGAAAAGTGGGCTATGGAGTTCCACCCTGACAAGTGTGAAGTGCTCAGCATCACCAGAAAGAGAGCTCCCATTGTCTACGACTACTCCCTGCATGGGCATATTCTCAAACATGTCAGCTTTGTCAAATATCTTGGTGTCCTTATATCTGGAGATTTACGATGGGACCTTCATATAGATCACGTATCCTCAAAAGCCAATAATACCGTTAATTTCCTGAGACGCAATATTAACATTGCAAATCCACAGGTCAAGGCCCGGGCTTACAAAACCCTAGTGCGCCCTATACTTGAGTATTGTCAGACGGTATGGGATCCTTATACCCAGAGTAATATAAGGAACCTGGAGGCTGTTCAAAGAAGGGCGGCGCGTTTTGCCCTCCGCCGCTACAGACGGCAGTCTAGTGTGTCTAACATGTTAGTCACACTTGACTGGCCTTTGCTCGTAGAAAGGAGGCGAAACGCCCGCTTACAGATGTTCTATAAGATCACAAATAACATTGTAGCTATGCACATGCCGCTAGCAAGCAAGGGGCTACGAGCTCCCTCTCGCACTGAAAACAGCTTAGCCCTCCACCCTCCAAGCTCACGAGCTGACTATCACCTAAATTCCTTCTTCTCTAAAACTGTTAGAGAATGGAACCGCCTACCAGATAGTGTGGTGAAAGCAAAGTCACTGCAGGCATTTAAAAATGCCATTCACACCTTGTAACCTCAAACAAGAGTCACGGGTACTCACCGCCACCCAGCTGGCGGACAGGGAGTGGCGCCCCTGCCCATTGAGGAGCTTGTAGTCTGTAGCCAACAGACTACAACAACATATATATACACATCATATACACAATACAAAATAAGAGCGACACCCCAAATCCAAACCAAAAACCCCTACCCCTCACCGTGCCGGAGCCCTCAACTTATTGAGGTTGTGCACGTACGGGAAAGAAGAAGAAGAAGAGAGTTAGAAAAGTTGACGTAGATGGCAACATTTGATTTCAAATTGTTTCACATGACTCACTGGTAAACTGTCTTCAGGTGTGGCACACAAGTTACGTACTCAGTAACTCATCTTTGTAAGAGCTTTTTTGGGGCAGTGGAGACGATCGCAGCAAGAGCAAAAGTCAGTGTAGATGGCATCATTGATCACTCACACACTCACTCACGCACACACACACACACACACACACACACACACACACACACACACACGTGCACGCAGTACCTTAGTTGCCATAGGGGCAGTCTGACTCCACGAAATCCCTCCTATGGCAGTCCTCAGTAGAGTGATATCAGTAAAATCATTAAACGCAAATGCCTTTCCAGCTGACAAGCCTGATGGTGGTTGGCATAGACGTGTACCACGACTCCCTGACTAAGGGCATGTCTGTGGGAGGGTTTGTGGCCTCCATGAATCGTCACCTGACTCGATGGTACTCCAAATGCACCTTCCAGCAAACTGGGCAGGAGCTCATTGACCAGCTCAAGCACTGTCTAGTGGGTGAGTTGTTTTTTTATGTTTTTTGTAACTTTTTGGGGCATAAAACGTTTCTGTTCTCTGTCCTCAACTTTTCTATAGTTTACGTCCCCTACCACATTGCCAATTCTCCATTAGTTGTGGGTTTAAGCAGTAGGGGGATGGTTATGGATACAGCACCATCTATAGTGCCCTGTATATGTAGGATTTGGGGGTGCAACGCATCACACCGCAGCAAAGCGCAATGAATGTGGAAGTAACTATGCCACACCGGGGCAAAAAAAGTCAAGGGTCTGGGACCTGATCAAGACTTCAAATTATTTGAAAATATTGTGTAAACAATGCCAGCAGGACTAGGAGTTGAGCAGCTGGATGTAGAAATAAGAGCCTTATTTTTATATGATATATAAGACCCTGTTGTTGTTCTCCTCCCTAGCATCACTCAGGAACTATCAGGCCATCAACAAAAAGTTCCCTCAGCGCATCATCTTCTACTGAAACTTTTCCACAGTTTACCTGCCCTACCACATAGCCAATTCTCATGGGTTTAAGCAGCACTGGATGTAGAAATACTATTAATACCCGCCTGGTGTGATAATCTCCTCCCAGCTTCACTCAGGAACTATCAGGCCATCAACAAAAAGTTCCCTCAGCGCATCATCTTCTACTGAAACTTTTCCATAGTTTACCTGCCCTTCCAAACTGCCAATTCTGATGGGTTTAAGCAGCACTGGATGTAGAAATAAGACCCTGGTGCGATTCTCTCCTTCTCTCCTCCCAGCTTCACTCAGGAACTATCAGGCGATCAACAAAAAGTTCACTCAGCGTATCATTTTGTACTGACTCAGAGACTTTTTCATAGTTTACCTGCCCTTCCAAACTGCCAATTCTGATGGGTTTAAGCAGCACTGGATGTAGAAAAACTAGTAACACTCTCCTCCCAGCGTCACTCAGGAACTATCAGGCGATCAACAAGGAGTTCTCTCCTACAGTAACTGAGACTTTTCCATAGATTACCTGCCCTACATTGCCAATTCTCATGGGTTTAAGCAACACTGAATGTAGAAATAAGACCCTGGTGCGATTCTCTCCTTCTCTCTTCCCAGCTTCGCTCAGGAACTATCAGGCGATCAACAAAGAGTTCCCTCAGCGTATCATCTTCTACCGTGACGGTGTCGGGGACGGGCAGCTGGAGGCCGTGTTGGAACACGAGCTGCCACAGATCATGGACACCTTCAGGTCACAGACTGCTGGATACGAGTGAGTTTGTTGATTTATATTGATATACGTAATTCATTATACACTAGCTGGTTTCTGAACAGTTTTTAGTATGATCCATACCTCCTTAATTCTGAGTTGTGCAGGTAAAACTTGTCTGGTGCAGGTAATTTTCAATGATACATGTTGCAGTTCAGGTATATATGCTGAGAAAAGCATTTAGAGCCTTGGTCGTGCTAACTTTGCTTACTTTACTTAGGCCCTTCGCTCCATTCGGAGCATAGGCCACCGTCGATAGTTCTCCACTTCAGTCGTATCTAGCCTGTCTTTCTCAGGTCATCCCAGCTGCTTGCTACTCTTCTCATCTTCTCCTCAGTGTATCTTCTCCAACTGTTTCTAGGCTGTCTCCTCTTTCTTCTTCCCTCTGGTTTCCATGTTAGGGCCTGGTGTGTGATGCTGAATGGTGATTTCCTCAGAGTATGTCCTATACAGCCCCATTTCCTTTGTAGAATCTGGGTTTCTGCTGTCGTGCTAACTCACTGTTAACTCTTGTGCAGGCCCAAGATCACGTTCGTCATCGTGAAGAAACGGATCAACACGCGGTTCTTCGCTCGCTCTGGTCCCGGGCTGCAGAACCCTCCCCCGGGAACCATCGTGGATGACGAAGTCACCAGGCCTGAGTGGTGTGTAGTTGTTGTTGGCTGTGTACGTACAGTACCTGAATCAGGGCTGGGAATAACACATGTAACTAGAAATGTACAATTGCAAAGCAAATGCATGATGTTTACCTTCTGCTCTGTTAGTTGTTACTCAAACACATTCACCCTCCTGCTATAAAATTGCAGGAGGGTCACCCAAGACTAGTTACCATTAGTTATTTGTTTGGAATGGAAAAAGAAGAAGAGGAAGAAACTGAGCAAAAACAAGTCGGTAAACATAGACAGGTAAAGGTAGAATTGTAGTCCCATAGCTTTTTTGAGGCTGTAGGTGCAGTGGGTTGTTGATTCTTTATTCTTCTTTCTCTCTTCTTTCAATTTGAGGCAGCCACCGCCTTCAATCACCAACTTCCAGACAGTGTTAGTTTTGTACCATTGCACACCGGGGCATGCCCATAGACTCTTTTTCGAAAGGTGTGGTGGTTTAACATACATCCTATTCGAGGCCTAAAAATCGGGATTTTCCCAAACATTCTTTTTTTCTCTTTTAGGTACGATTTCTTCCTTGTGTCGCAGTCGGTGCGCCAGGGAACGGTCACTCCCTGCCACTACAACGTGGTGTGGGACACCTCTGGCCTCAAGCCTGACCACATGCAGAGGCTCACCTACAAGCTCTGCCACCTCTACTACAACTGGCCCGTAAGTATGTGTGCGCGCGTGCGTGTGTGTGTGTGTTAGTGCATGTGTGCACAGCGGCTCACCTACAAGCTTAACCACCTCTACTACAATTGTCAGGTAAGTGTGCATGTGTGTGTGTGTCTGTCTGTTTGTGTGAGCCTGTGTGTGTGTTTGTGTGTGTGTGTGAGTGCATGTGCATGTTCATGTGTGTGTGTGTGTCTGTGTGTCTGCATGTGCATATGTGTGTGTCTGTATTTGTGTGTGTGTGTCTGTGTGTCTGTGTGTCTGCATGTGCATATGTGTGTGTCTGTGTGTCTGTATTTGTGTGTGTGTGTGTCTGTGTGTCTGCATGTGCATATGTGTGTGTCTGTGTGTCTGTATTTGTGTGTGTGTGTGTGTGTGTGTGTCCATGTGTGTGTTTGTGTGAGTGTGTGTTTGTGTGTGTGTGTTTATTCCTTCATACAAGCATTTTTTAATCAATTCATTCATTCATTCATTATTTGTTCTTTCCTTTATTTGTTCATGCATTGTTTTATGTTGTTTCAGGGCACCATCCGAGTCCCCGCCCCGTGCCAGTACGCTCACAAGCTGGCCTTCCTTGTCGGGCAAAGCATCCACACCAAGCCTGCCGAGGACCTGGCACAAACACTGTTCTTCCTGTAGGTCACAGGTCACGGCCAAAGGGTAGAGGTCACAGGTCACAGGTCATGACCAAAGTTAGAGATCAGAGGTCACAGGTCATGACCAAAGGGTAGAGATTAGAGGTCACAGGTCATGACCAAAGGGTAGAGATTAGAGGTCACAGGTCATGACCAAAGGGCTTTCAAGCTGGCTTTCCAACAAGATGTTTGAAAACCTGACAAAACTTAAAATCCTTCAAACACTTCCATTTTCTAGTTTGGATGGACTAGTAAGGAGAAAATAGTACATGCCAGTTCTGCTAAACCTGAAGTGCCAAAGTAAACTGTAAGGTACTAGTAGTTCTGAGTATGTTCCAAAGGTAGAACGACATTTTAGCATAATGAAAGTTTTTAACTCCGTCCTAAGCACATGTATTATGTATGTCTCTTAGGAGACATTGTTAACAAGTGCATTGTATTCCCAGTAAGACATAAAGGAACTTTATACAGCAGGAAACAAAAGATACCACTGATTAAGTAAACTTTCAATCACTGTAAAACTTACATAAACTAGCAGCAGATTTTGTTGCAATCTCAGGGTTTCGTATACATTCTCTCAGTGCATTTTTCCAGTGGATCTAAACTTTGGATATTTTAGTCTAAATTTCTGGCTAAATTGCAGAAAGAAACATTTGTTTCTGCTCTGTTTCTTCTTCCTCTTTTCTTTCATTCCAAACAAATTAGGTCAATGTCCTGAGCTAGATGTCTGTCACCATGGTAACTGCTGCTGTAGCAGACATCCTGTGGTGTTGGGTTACATCATGTAGCAATGGCCACACACTATATATGTTTATGTGTTTGAGGAAGGATAAACAGAGCAGTAGTAGTTTAGGCTAGACTCTGTGAATGTAAACATGTGGATTTGTTTTGCAAATGTTACCTTTCAAAGTTTCTAGTTTTTTTTTGCCATACATAATGCTTTTAACACTTTTAATAAAAGTTTTACAAAATATTAACTCACACTGTGCTAATATGATGCTTTTCATGAACTACATACTTGTACTACTTCTTTTAAGGTTGTTGGATCAAATAAGAAAGCACAAAATATAGGCATTTGAATATGTTGTTTCACTTTTACTAATATAATACTAATATGTTTTTTACCTTACAATTATAAAGTTATAAAGTTTCCCAAAACTTCCTATAGGGCGTAACGGCCGTAACCCCAATATTTTTTTTATATCTACTGTTAGGCCACACCAATTTAATTTGTTGGTTCTCGGATTTTTTCAGAAAAAATATGAAGCGACAGGGCGAAAAAAATAAAATAAAAACAGGTCTAGGCATCCTATTATAGGCTTAAATGCTACGAAATGAGCCATGAAGTCAACACAAAAGGCTGGGTTAAAATTTAAACATTGAATTTTGAACTTTTAATCAAACCACTGCAATGATAGATGGGAAAACTGTAACAACTAGGAAGAAAAGGACTTTCCTCAACTGTTGAGGGCAAAACATGAGCATTTTTCAGTTGATTCAGAACCAGAATCTTTTTTTTTTTTTTGCAAATCAGAAAAAAACGAAGAGGCGAATCCGAGAACCAACAAATTAAATTGGTGTGGCCTTATTTTAACTAATAATACTAACGTATTCGTACAATGTTAAGATTATTTAAAAAAGGTTTTAAAAATAATCAATGTTGCAATGATAAATTCCATCCAGCACTCAATGTTTGATAATCATGTCATTGTTTTAAATCATGCAATTGATTGATTTGTTACATAGGTTAGTCTGGTTTTGTTGTTTGCCATACATTGTACTAGTATCTGTTACAATTGTTGTGCAATAAAGTTCTATCTTCCTAAAATGTTGATTGTGTTATTTGTAATAATTGCAAGATGTTTATAAATTTGTGTTTGTGCAAAACGTTAATCAATTCAAATCTATGGAATCGTAGGAATTCAGAAGCCCAAAAATGTCTGATATTATTTTTAAAGAAAATTATTTTCTTATGTTTAAATGCAAATCAGTTGGTTATTTTCAGTTAGTTCAGTTATTTTGATTCCTAGATACTTTTACTACTACACTTTCTTGTCTAATTAAAAAGAAAAATGACCAAAATCACAAGAAATGAGCGCATTGTACATTTCGCAATCAATCAATATTATCAATAAATCAATTACAGCGGCTGTCAAACTTCCATCCAATCAGAGCGCCCCTTTCTTTTTTCTGAGAACTAAGGTCTCCGCTGATTGGTTCGCGTCGTCAGACCAAATAAGGGACTCCCGCCTTGCTCAGAACCGTAGTGACACGAGAGAGTGGTTGGATGGATCCTTGAAAACTCGGCCATTTTCAGCTGAAAAAACAGCGAAAACAAGAGCCAAAGGTAAATATTTACATCGATATTGTTACTTGAACATGTTGTGTAGGTTTCGATCTTCCTAAGACTAGATTTTGGGCGATTTTAGAGCCAGAAAAGAACGTTTTTTAAAATTTCTTTGCAACCTCGCTGTTTTGCCCCGATGACATTGACATGCAAAACTGATTATTTACGACCTGATTTCTGCAAAAAAATGTCATCCACAAGCGATGTCTTGTCGTGTGTATTTTTCTTAGACATTCCCAACGATTGCCAAGTACAACTGGAGCAATTTTGAGGCCGAATTTCGTCTCTGTAAACGTAAAAATGAGGCTGGCAGAACGCTAGAGTTGAACTCTCTGGAGAGATAGTTGCCCGCCCTTCGCATAGCACGCGGTCCCAGATTTTGCTCCTCAAACTAGAATATCTCTCTTTTTTCGACATTTTTATACCCTTTCCTTGGCATATAGTACTACTAAAAAAGTCTATTTTGTTGTCAACGTGCATGTGTGGACTGTTAGGCAGCATTTGATGGATTTTTGCCCAACATGTGGTCTTGACAGTTTTTGAAATCCAAGATGCCAAAATGGCCACTTCGCAAGGAGGCATCGTGTTGTTGTTTTTGAGTCTGGCCTGTTGATCTGGATGTGAACTTTCTTTTTATGTGTGCAAAATTATGCATAGTATTTCTTTATTCACGAATGAAAATCTTACATCTGTGAATTTTGTTCAGCATGCAAAGAAATATGTTGTCTCCTGGAGTGTTGTTTTTATTTTAGCCACATACAGAACTTCCAACAACACTGTATAGCTGAAATTTTCGTGTCTAAATTTTTAGGGAGTTCTGATTTTTCTCGTCTCTTGCTAAATAATGTTTCACCACAAAATCTTTCAACAACAAATTCCCCTTTCTTTTAAAAACATCTGGACGGAATTATGCACATAAAACTGTTGGAATGCCTTTGTGGCATTTCTCACAAATTAGCATGTCAAAAGTCCTTCCTGTGCTTTACACACAAGTGTGAAACGATGTCTGGACATGAACTGAGAAATATTTCCGTCTCAGATAACTGAAACAAATGTACTAATCTCCAAGCAGAAGTTCAGGTTTCTGCTTACAAGTTTTTAGCGTGTTTTTTATGTGCGTTTTAATTTTAATCGTGATTTCTTTGTAGCACTGGCATCAATTTTTACGCCAGCCCATATGGGGAGGCAACTGCCTGAGTGATAAATTCTTGGGCACCAAAACATAAAAATTGCTTGCAGATTAGCTGATGCATGTTTGATTTTTATATTCCAGTGCCGAAACTGTAATTTCTAAACAGTTAGCAGGAGAAACCAGGTATAAAAGATGTCCCAACAGCCCCCATCAGGACGTGCCCGTGGGAGGGCCCGTGGACGAGCTCGTGGTGCGGTAGAGGAACCCCCACGCCGCCCGGGCGCCGGAGCAGCCCCCTCGGCGGCACCACCACCGCCTGTCGCCGCCGCGCCGCCCGCAGAAGCCCCGGCTCCGGCAGCTAGCGGCCGGGGTCGGCAGAGGGGAGGGGTGACAGCTAGGGCTCCAGGAGGTTAGTAGATAATTTGTTTGTTGTCAGTTTTTACTCCACTTGGAAGATCACTACCTTTGTAGTAAGATATCCACAAAACCCACTTAAAGTTTATGCAGAAATTGTCTAAATTATTCAGTATCCACTGTTCACAGAATGTAAAAAATTGGTTCTTAAAATCTGAATCTATACCCGTGGCATATGAAAAATTGCATGTTCGCAAACATTCAACATGCAATTTGAAAAATACATGCAAAATTACTTGTTTACTATTATAGAGTCAATAGTAAACTCAAAATCTCTTAAACACCATTGAACCCCTAGCCTGATTTTTTTGCAGTTTAGTTTTTCTTCTGCAATATTGAAAATGTTTCTTCAAAATGCAGCAGTGTTCTAGCCAGGATTTTTTCACAGCATAGGGGTCAGGTACAGAAGAGCAACTTTCGTGGCGCAAATCACGCTTTGAGCCGAAAAATTTTGAAAGTCATAACCCCCTGAGACACTACTTCTAGGGGGTCAAAATCATGCCCTATGCTAAAAAGACCTGGCTAGAACACTGTGCAGACTGCAGGCAGGTAGACTTTAGTGTATTACATGTATTTCTAGCTCCCCCAACGTCCCAGCTGGAGGCCCTGTCCCTGGGAGAGAAGGGCGCGGGCGCGGCGCCTGCAGCCCAGCCCTTCGGACGGCGCCGGAGGGGCGATGTCGTCATCGAAGAGCCGCACACTCGACCAGCTCACATCCAGGACAAGAAAGGTGCGTAACTGTTTTTCAGGACAGTTTTCTAGGCTATAAGTTCATCTGTGCTAGTAGAAGTCATTATGAAGCCGTTTATACTGTACTTCCCAACGGAAAAGATTGGACTTGCCCAAATTTTTGACTGTGCAATTCTAGCCTTTGTCAAGGAATGAGCAATCCACTGCTGTGTTTTGTTTAAGAGTAATAATAATGAGTATGTATTACTAAGTTGTTCTGTTTTTCTGTTACAGGCATGAGTGTGATCTTCTGGTAAAATAAACTGCCTAACTGGAAAAATGACATGAAGTTCTAGAAAAGAATGAATTTTTGAACACCCCAATCCTTGGGTGGTACTTGAGTTGAGGGCATGGCTGTTTCTTGTACTTTTCCGAGCTGGTACTAGGTACTAAGTAGTTGGTACGTCCTCCAGTTTCTGTGTAAACACCCCTTCTCCCCCCCCTCCAGGCTCCACAGGCCACCCTGTGCCTCTTGTGACCAACTTTTTCCGTGTGAGCTCGACCCCCTCTTGGGCGCTTTACCAGTACAACGTGAGCTTTGCGCCGGAGATTGACTACCGTGGCGTGCGATTCTCCATGGTGAAGGAACACATCGAGCTGATCGGAGAAACCTACGCCTTCGACGGGATGATCCTGTTCCTGCCCAAACGTCTGCAGGAGAAGGTCGGTTCTCTTTCTTCTTCTTCCTCTTTGTCAGTTTGCATGATGTCGAACTTCATTAGGTTGAAGACTACATGGTCACGTAGAAGGTGGAACAAATGACACAGAGTCTGGTTTGGCAAATAATCTACTCTTTAAATTCATTTCTTTACATTTTCGTCTTTTTCGTTTGATTTTAGCATTCTATGACATTGGGATGGTTTTCCTTTTTTTTTTCAACTTCCGGTATATATTTGCTCATTTTGCAACTGTTTTGTACCATTTACAGTATGGTTGAAAACTTTTTTCGGTATAGTATGGTTGGTTTGCTGTTTCTTCGTTACTAAGGCTTGAAATCCTTTTTTCTTACATACCTGCTTTGTTTATTGTTTATTTGAAGGATCTCTGGAGTCTTAAAAACAACTTTGGCGCAACTAATATCAGAAGTCATCACCTGTTTCAGACACCTGATTGATTTCTTCCAACTTTACTCCGATGCCCTTCAGGCCAATAGGCTAATTTTCCAGGGCTCATATAGAAATAAAAACACATAATCAACAGACTGAATTATTGAATTATTGATTGCTTGACTGACTGATTGATTGACTGATGTATTGACATTTCCAGGAGACCGTTCTGTTCTCCAAGCGGCGTAACGACGGGGCGGACATTAAGATCACGATCACGCTGACAAACGAGCTGCCGCCGACCTCGCCGACCTGCATCCAGCTGTACAACATCCTGTTCCGCAAGGCCCTGCACGAGATCGGGATGCAGCAGATCGGCCGCAACAACTACAACCCCGACATGGCAGCTTACGTGCCGCAGCACAAGTAAGGCTTTAGTTACAACCCCGACATGGCGGCTTACATGCCGCAGCACAAGTAAGGCTTTAGTTACAACCCCGACATGGCCGCATACGTGCCGCAGCACAAGTAAGGCTTTAGTTACAACCCTGACATGGCCGCTTACGTGCCGCAGCACAAGTAAGGCTTTAGTTACAACCCCGACATGGCCGCTTACGTGCCGCAGCACAAGTAAGGCTTTAGTTACAACCCCGACATGGCCGCTTACGTGCCGCAGCACAAGTAAGGCTTTATTTACCCACATGTAACCCCGCATACGTGCCACAGCAGTTATATAATATTATAAACTTTCATTCATTCGTTCAACCCTTCATTCAGTAAGGTTTCACTAACAACCCCGACATGGCCACTTATGTGCCGCAGCACAAGTAAGTCTTCAAACCAGGGCTCAAAGTACTGTTTTCTGCATACCTGCACTACACATACCTGCATACCTGCAACTTACCTGCGCTTGACCAACTTTAGCCCCACCAGGGACCTCCCTAAACAATGGAGCAGTGGAGCTCCTCCACCCAGTCCTTATCTCAGCTCCACCCTGTTAATTTTCAAAACTAGTGTTTTTACACCCTTTTCCAGGGTTCTTTGGTCAAATTTACCGATATTTCGCACCCTCCTACATTCTGTCCTAAATTTCTGGGGAGATCCCTGCCCACTGCTTGAAAAGTACATCTGATAAAGTATGCATCAAACTACAAACAGTCAAGAAAACATATTCATTCTTTACTTCGGTGGCGCATCAGTACACGTTAATGGCAGGACAAATGCCATTCCGGCTAAAAAATCACAACTGTTCGTGTCTGAACCCATGTGACCCGGCAGCTGGTTCCATCCTCTTATTGTGAATGGTAAAAGATAAATTGGACACAATTTTTGTGTGCAAGAAATAATCTGGGGGCTATTTTTCCTTCTCTCCCCCCAGACTGGAGGTGTGGCCTGGTTTCGTGACCTCCATCCTTCAGTACGAGGCTAACGTGATGTTGATGGCTGACGTCTCCCACAAGATCCTCCGTACCGACACCGTCCTGGACTTTCTGTACGACCTGTACAACAAGACGCAGCACAGCTTCCACGAGAACGCCACCAAGAAACTCGTGGGAGAGATCGTGCTCACAAGGTCTGCTTCTTTACTTCTTTAAAACCTCTCCGTCTTCTTTTGTTATCCTCAAGTGAAGTGAAGCATGATTTTCTCATGTGTAGTACAAACCGTAGTTCAACTGACATGTTTAAAGTTAAAACTTTTGATCCAACACAAAGTAAATTTTCTCACCTAAAACTTTCACCTAGACTGACCCAGTGAGACTTGTCATGCGGCTTCTCTGAAGTGTGATGTCAACTATGGGTCTAGGTGAGAAAATGTGTTGGGTACAAAGTTTTAACTTTAAATACATTAGTGGAATACATTACATGCTTTCTTTCTAATACATTATACAAACCTAAGGGTAATACAATTACGTTTTAACAAATGAACCTAACTCTTTGCCCTTAGCAAACTACATGTAATATATAAATGTCAGAAAATGTTCCAAGATTGCAGTTACTCATCGAGACCTATACCTAAACTCATGTTCCCGTATCTAACATTTGTTGGAGTTTGCAGAACCACGTAGCATTTATTAGGTACACAGCTCTAATTTCAAGTCCTTACACATACCATAAAATGGTTCCGTTATTCCTCTCAGGTACAACAACAAGACGTACCGCATAGACGACATAGACTGGGAGCAGAACCCGCAGAACAAGTTTAAGATGTTTGACGGAACAGAGATGTCGTATGTGGAGTACTACGCCAAGCAGTACAACAAGACTGTCCGAGACATGGACCAACCACTGCTGGTCAGCCGGCCAAAGAAGAAGGTAAACAGCAGGGTTAAAATTCATGTTTGGGGAAAAATGAGGCTCACAATTATTATAATAATCATGATAATTACTGTCAATAGTAGAGTGGATTCATTTCTCAAGCTAATCCACATCTCACACACGCAATCATCCCTCAGTAAGACATCAGTAAGAGCCGCATAGTTCCCGTTTAGAACTTTTATTCAGCCTGTCACACAACTGGTTTCGCCTGCATACATAATAATTACTGTTCTTGGTCGTAAATTAATTATGAACTGCAATCGACAAACTGAATCAGTGCATGACTTGTCTTTGTACAGTCTGATCGCCATTTGCATGTTGCTGTGTGACTTAGATACAGCTTGCAGTCATAAACAAGGGTGCCAAGGAGACCTTAACAATTGTATGTAATGTGTCAAAATTAAAGGCCCCAGAGAACTAAACAGACATCTGTGCATTTATGAAGCATTGTAAGACATCTTTTGTATATGTTTCGGGGCCTGCATGATCTGAAAAATTTTGATGAACCCAAAATCTACAGCTTGCTTCAACAAAAAACTGCTAATTGCAATGTTGCTGGCAACAGGAAGAACGTATTACATGTTAAGTCAATCCACCTTTCTGAAGTTTGTTTTTTTGTTTTTGTTGTTTCCAGGTGCAGAAGGGAGGCAAGCCTATGGAGGGTCCGCTCTACCTCCTGCCTGAACTCTGTACCCTGACAGGTTGGATTAGAAATCATTCACTGTACTTAACCCTAACTCTGCTCTCTGACCATTACATCACATTTGTGTGTTGGTTTGGATTTGAGTTCATGACCAGTAGTTGCCAAAGTTTGAGTGCAGACCATAATGCTGTATATGCCTAAGTTGTTGAGGAAGGGAATGGAACGCCCAACTGGAAGTAGAAGTGTTGCATGTCTGTGTGTGTGTAAGCCTAGCTTGTTGGTGGGCATCAAACCCGACTGTAAATGTTGTATTTATCGAACCAGCTGACCACAATATTGTGTATGGGCCTGGGATTGGAACCCGTGACCCTGTGTTCCACAAGTGTGACTGGCGACAGTTAATGTTGTGTTTGTGTTCAGGCCTGGGATTAGAACCCATGACCTCGTGCTCCAAAGAAGTAAGTGCAGATACTGATATTCATGTTTATGTTTAGGTCTGGGCTTCGAACTCATGACCTCATATCTCAGAAGTGCACCAGCTGACTTTTCTTGTTTTGTATATTCAGGCCTGACGGATGAGGTTCGTGCAGACTTCCACGAGATGAAGGATGCTGACATATAATGTTGTGTTAGTGTTTAAGCCTGGGATTCGAACCCATGTCGTCGTGTCCAAGAAGCATAGATATTGACCGTTAAAATGTTGTGTTTGTGTTCAGGCCTGACGGATGAGGTCCGTGCAGACTTCCACGTGATGAAGGACATCGCCATCCACACCCGCATCACTCCCGACAAGCGCAACGAGACTCTGCAAACCTTCATCAACACTCTCAACAGGTGGGTGCCATTTGCAGGGCTTAAAAATTCATTTTGGGGAACAGGTACACTGGTTGTGCAATCAATAGGTTGTGCTTATAAACCTGCATTTCCCCTCTGGTCTCTCAGTCACTGACGAAAGCTAGTGGATACTAGTCTGATGTTTTCAAAATCATATCCAGCTGCTTGAGTAACTGCTTTTTGGCGTATCGTATTACCTGGATGTCTAACCTTCATCGACACTGGTTGCTTAGTGAAAAGGCCATAGCACACCCCTATACTCTAAGGTAGTCACACCCATATCACTCCCGACAAGCGCAATGAAACTCTGCAAACCTTCATCAACACTCTCAACAGGTGGGTGCCATTCGCAGGGCTCCAAAACTCATTTTGGGGAACAGGTGCACTGGTTGCTTGGTGAAAAATGCCATAGCACACCCCTATACTCTAAGGTAGTCACACCCGACAAGCGCAACGAAACCCTGCAAACCTTCATTAACACACTCAACAGGTGGGTGCCATTTGCAGGGCTCGAAAATTCATTTTGGGGAACAGGTGCACTGGTTGTGCAATCAATAGGTTGTGCTTATAAACCTGCATTTCCCCTCTGGTCTCTCAGTCACTGACGAAAGCTAGTGGATACTAGCTGAAACGTCTGATGTTTTCAAAATCATATCCAGTTGCTTGAGTAACTGCTTTTTGGCATATCATATTACCTGGATGTCTAACCTTCATCGACACTGGTTGCTTAGTGAAAAGGCCATGGCACACCCCTATACTCTAAGGTAGTCACTCCTGACAAGCGCAACGAAACTCTGCAAACCTTCATCAACACACTCAACAGGTGGGGACCATTCCAGGTCACAAAACACAGAAATCATCCAGGAGAGCAGAAAAATTCCAGTAGTATATGTTCCCTTAGAAGTTATTATAGAAGTCCAGAACCATTCCAGGTCACAAAACATGGAAATAATCCATCATGAAAGTTCATCTGTGTTGGTAGTTACATGTTTAGAGTTAAAACTTAAGATCCAACACAAAAAATCTCTCACCTAGAGCTTTAGACTAGTTACTCTAGATCTGGTCTTCCTTAGTAGACTGACCCAGTGAGGCTTGTCATGTGGCTTCTTGGAAATAATCCAGAAAAATTAGTATATTTTCCCTTAGAAGAGAGTACAGAAGTCCAGAAGAAGAGAGCACAGTTAGGAAGTCTAACTGCTCTGGTAACAGGGATAGGCAACATGGAAGAGGGTTTAAGTATTTGCTCCTTTTCATTTCTGTCTTTCTTTCTTGGTGATGCAACACAGCATGTCATGTGGTAGCCAGGCAGGAACAAGGCTGGTAGTGGCTACCACTGACACATACAACTGTAATAATACAAGCTATCAAAACTATACTATTCTTTCCCTGCCCTTGTAGGAATGAGAAGGTACAGAAGGACATGAAGGGCTGGGGACTGTCGTATGACAAGACTCTACTGAAGCTGGAGGGGCGTGTCATGCCGCCGGAGAAGATCTGGCAACGCAGTGGATCTGTGAGTACTCTTACTTCTATATAAAATACCAGAATGATGAAACCCCTGCCTTTTTCATGTCATTCTCGGTACAACTATAAGCCTTAGGATGTAGACTGCCAAAGGAAACATGAAAACTAGTCAAAAATTAAGAAAAACCCTCACTTAGCATTGTTTTCAGTGCAACTATGATAGGAAAATAGTGGAAACAAGACAGAGTTTATTTTTTTGTTCTTTCCACAACTACAAGGTCCAGGACGCAGACTGCCAGAGAAACATCAAAACTGGTCAAAAATTAACAAAAATCCTTATTTCTACATCGTTTTCAGTACAACAAGCCCCAGGACATAGACCACCAGGAAAATGGCAAAAACAAGGCAAAACTTGACATGTTTTTTTTTTCTGTGCCATTTTCAGTACAACTACAAGCCCCAGGATGCTGACTGGGGTAAGGAGATGCGAGGTCAGCAGCTCATCTCCTGTGTGCCCATGCAGAACTGGCTCTTCATTCTTCCCAGCCAGGAACTCTCACAATAACCTCTACCAACACAGATGAACTTTCTAGCGTAGACAAAACTTGACATGCTTTTTTTTCTGCTTCGTTTTCAGTACAACTGCAAGCCACAGGATGGAGAGCATGAAAAGGAGACAGAAGTTAGAGAAACATAAAAACTAAACCAAAAAAAACAACCCTAGGACACAGACCACAACTGAAATGACAAAAATGTGACCTGATTTTTTTTCTGTGCCATTTTCAGTACAACTACAAGCCGCAGGATGCGGACTGGGGTAAGGAGATGCGAGGCCAGCAGCTGATCTCCTGTGTCCCCATGCAGAACTGGCTCTTCATCTTTCCTCAGAGGAACTCTCCCCAGGCACAGGACTTCCTACAGGCTCTGGTCAGGGTCGGGCCTCCCATGGGGATGAACATCAACAAACCCATCATGTAAGGTCTACTCGTGTGTGTGTGTGTGTCTGTCTGTCTGTCTGTCTGTGTGTCCCAGCTAGGAACTCTCCTCAGGCACAGGACTTCCTACAGGCTCTGGTCAGGGTCGGGCCTCCCATGGGGATGAACATCAACAAACCCATCATGTAAGGTCTACTCGTGTGTGTGTGTGTGTCTGTCTGTCTGTCTGTCTGTGTGTCCCAGCTAGGAACTCTCCTCAGGCACAGGACTTCCTACAGGCTCTGGTCAGGGTCGGACCGCCCATGGGGATGAACATCAACAAACCTATCATGTAAGGTTTACCTGTCCAACCTGTACTAGTGATCACCTGTGTGTGTGTGTCTGAGTGTTTGTGTGTGTGTTTCTCTGTTTGTGTGTGTGTGTTTGTAAATGTTTCTGTCCGTGAGTGTGTTTGCTTCTGTTTGCACTGCAGCTATTGTTACCTTCTGGACAAGATCTCATCATAATATCATGAAAATACATGGAACAAAAAACGAGCAAGTACAGAGATTTATTAGAAAAAGATGCCTCTTCTCTTGATGTATGCAAACTTTATTGTTGCCCCTGTACAGGTGTGAGATCCCGGATGATCGTACGGACAACTACCTCCGCACCATGAGGGAACAGATGAACGACAAAACACAGATGGTGAGCTTATTTGAATTCTCCACTAATTTTTGTCCTCCCAACATGCAAAGAATACAGCAAAAACATAGTGCAATATACAAAAGTGTATGTGAATAAAACATTAAAAGCTTACACCTGCAACGAGTTTGGTTTCTTCTTAAGGAAATACAGCCAAGTAGTGTTCTACGGTAGTCTTTTGAGTTGCTCGATTGTAGAGGCCTTTATTCTGTGATCTAGGCCCCCTTTGCTGTGATCTGGGCCCCTGTGCTGTGAATTGGACACACTGCGCCCAAATATACCGAAAGCAAAAGATTGTGTAAAAACAGGCCAGAGGTCTTAAACCCCTTTTTTTGCCATAGCTGGTATGCTTGCTATCAGCACTCAAAAGACAGTGAGAGATTTTGTAACACAGGCTAGCAATCTTCAAACTTTTGTGTTTTCTGTAGGTTATGTGCCAGCTATCAAACCCCCTGACAGAGAGATTTTGTAACACAGACTAGTGATCTTCAAACTTTTGTGTTTTCTGTAGGTTATGTGCCAGCTATCAAACCCCCTGACAGAGAGATTTTGTAACACAGACTAGTGATCTTCAAACTTTTGTGTTTTCTGTAGGTTATGTGCCAGCTATCAAACCCCCTGACAGAGAGATTTTGTAACACAGACTAGTGATCTTCAAACTTTTGTGTTTTCTGTAGGTTATGTGCCAGCTATCAAACCCCCTGACAGAGAGATTATGTAACTCACACTAGTGATCTTCAAACTCTTAATTTCCCCACAGGTGGTGTGCCTGCTGTCCTCCCAGCGTAAGGACAGGTACGACGCCATTAAGAAGTTCTGCTGCGTGGACCACCCCGTGCCGAGCCAGGTGATCGTGAGCCGCACGCTCAACAAGAAGCAGATGCTGATGTCTGTGGCCACCAAGATCGCCCTGCAGCTGAACTGCAAACTGGGAGGGGAACTGTGGGCAGTGGAGATTCCGGTAGGTTTGGGGTATCAATGCCTTTACCTTTAAAAAAATTTTGATGCACAACATTATACAGATGAGGTTGAATGTTGTTTGCAAACCATTCTGACCTATTTTGGGTTTGCGGTATTGTCCCAGCAATTAGGCACTAGTTTGCCAAATGTCTAAGTCACCCAACTGGTGCAATAGCTCAATTGGTAGAGTGCTCGCTTTGTAATCGGGAGGTCGTGAGTTCAAACCCCGGCCGGGTCATACCAAAGAACTTCTTTCTCTGCTTAGCACTCAGCACATATGAGAAAAAGTGTGGGGAGGTCAAACACACAGCACTACCAGCGGACCAGCCCCCTGCTGTAGTGCATTGCACTACTGTGTGTCGCCCAAGGGCTACAGAAATGGATATGGGCACCACCCTACGCTCTGCATAAGATTAGCATGGGCGACCTTTCGTTTCCTAAGTCACCTGGTGACTGTATACTAGATAGAGAGGTAAAGTGTGTGATTTCTGGTTAGACATTGTGTCCTTTGAAAAGGTACTTAACACTACTTTCAGTCTGTCTGAGGGATAAGACATTAGAGTACACATCTAAACAAGAGGTACAGGTTTGATTGTATTTCCTCCTATTTTTCCCTTCCCACAGCTGAAGAGCATGATGGTTGTTGGCATCGACTGTTACCACGACTCGGCCACCAAGGGCCAGTCTATCGGCGGGGTCATCGCATCCATGAACAACTCCCTCACCCGCTGGTACTCTCGCTGTACCTTCCAGCACTCCGGACAGGAACTCATCGATGGACTGAAGGTCTGCCTGCAGGGTGAGTGGAACCAGGAGTCACGGGTTCGAAGCCCAGTCTGTACTTAGCTATGTTTTGCTTGGGAGGTTCATGGTTTGTCCAATCCGCCGCTAGCATTCGTCTGAAAGGTTGGGAATGGTGGGCATGGTTTTGATTTTGTCGGGAACTTGGGCAGGGATTGGAGTTGTGCAGGAGGTCGTGGGTTCAAAACCCGGTCTGTAGGTAACCATCTCATGAACAACTCCCTGACCCGCTGGTACTCCCGCTGCACCTTCCAGCACTCCGGACAGGAGCTGATCGATGGGCTCAAGGTCTGCCTGCAGGGTGAGTGGAACCAGGAGTCACGGGTTCGAAGCCCAGTCTGTACTTTTTACTTGGGAGGTTCATGGTTTGTCCAAGCCGCCGCTAGCATTCGTCTGAAAGGTTGGGAATGGTGGGCATGGTTTTGATTTTGTCGGGAACTTGGGCAGGGATTGGAGTTGTGCAGGAGGTCGTGGGTTCAAATCCCGGTCTGTAGGTAACCATCTCATGAACAACTCCCTCACCCGCTGGTACTCTCGCTGTACCTTCCAGCACTCTGGACAGGAGCTGATCGATGGGCTCAAGGTTTGCCTGCAGGTTGAGTGGAACCGGGAGTCACGGGTTCAAATCCCACTATTTTAACCTAATTTTGATTGCTAAGAAAGTACCTGGAAGGTTCATATTTCAAGCCCCAGGTTCCAAGCTAACATCTTTGGCATGGAAAGGAGTTAAAGAAGAAAGTATATTACTTGGAGACAGCTGGTTGGAATCCTGATTTCAATTACTTAACCTGGAGTGATCGAGGTCCTCCCCTTTCTTTCTTAATTCAAATTGGAACGGCAATACGTGTGGAGCACTAGGCAGCAAATTACACATTACAAACATTACACTCAACATTAGATGCAAACAAAAATTTACGTCTTGATACTTAATAGTTGTACAATGAAAACAGTAGCATTGCAAAAAACTACAGCCTAAATCAAATGGTCAACAGATACGTCCTCCCCTCCTTTACAGCCGCGCTGAAGAAGTTCTACGAGTTGAACTCTAACCTGCCGGACCGCGTGATCTTCTACCGTGACGGGGTTGGTGATGGACAGCTGGGCGCAGTCGTGGAACACGAGATTCCGCAGGTCCTCGACACCTTCAAGAACCTCGGCGCTGACTACAAGTGAGGGTTCTACCCATTCTTTTGTTTATTGTTAGGCCACACTGATTTAATTATATGGATGACATCCTCACACCCATGTTCTTAAAAAAGATATATCATCTCCCAGCACCCAGGCTGCCATAGCTCTAAAGGCGAGTATGTGCCGGCTTGTAATAGTCGCTATGTAGTACTGCAAATTCACAATACCAGCTTTGTTTAGCAGCATTTTTGGGGGCTGGTATTTCTTTATTCGCCAGCATGTACTAGTTGGGGGTCTTCAGAGGATGTTATCCGTAAAATTAAGTCAGTGTGGCCTTACAGTCGTGTAGCACGAGATTCCGCAGGTCCTCTACACCTTCAAGAACCTCGGCGCAGACTACAAGTGAGTCACTCTCCTCTTCTTTGAGGGCCTGCATGGGGGTTAGTGATTACGAATTACGTACCCCAAATTTTTGCCACCGATTACAAATTACGTTGAATTCTCAGAGCTGATTACGTGTTTCGGCTAATGTACTGATTACGAATTACGATGATTTGAGACGGCTGCCTATGGATTATGAAGACTACTAAGGCCTGATAACACCTTACGAAAAAGGGCATGCAGGTCCTCTTCTTTGCTTTATGTTAGGCCCCACCTCCTCTTTTGTTCATTGTCGTTTACTCACGGGCAATTTGTTGAAAGGACAGAAGTTATCTCTGTAGAGTTTGAATATCAATTAGTACCTGGATGTGTAACCTTCCTTAACATGTCAAAGTAATTTTATTATCTATTTATTATTGGTGATAGTTGTCATTACTTATTTCTTTTGATCATCTCTTGTGACATTTCCAAAGGAGCTGCACAATAAATAAAAATAAAATTAATAGAAAGTTGAACTGATGTATGCAAAGGTGAGTAAATTCTGAAGGATTCATGACTCTTTTCTCCCTCCTTTAGCCCGAAGGTTGAGTGGATCCTGGTGAAGAAGAGAATCAACACCTGATAAAGTCAACAAGATGTACAAGAAAGTTGAATCATGGTGAAAGTAGGTTGATATTAAACGTTTAACGCCTTTTTTCTCGCTCCCGTAGGCCCAAGGTTGCATGGATCGTGGTGAAGAAGAGAATCAACACCCGATTCTTCGCGCAGGCTGGCCGCGGACTCCAGAATCCAGCCCCTGGGACCGTGGTGGATACCGAGGTCACACGCCCTGAGTGGTAAGGTCTTTCACAGCACGTTGGCAGAACGTACTGCACCTGCGCGAAACCTGTACTGTATTGTGCATAGCACCTCGGCAGAACAGTTAATATAAGGTCCTATCTGTGCATAGAAGGTTAATATCCTGTCTGTAGTTTCCTAAAGTTTTGCCGGAAAAGATACCATCTGCAACATAACAGGCAAAATTCTGATGCAACGTTGATCCAAAATCCAAGAAAAAACGTGAAAAATCAGGGTTTCTGGGACCATGGTGGACACCGAGGTCACCCGCCCTGAGTGGTAAGATGTATTTGTTTTTATTTGTTTATTTATTTATTTGCACAGAAAACATAAAGGGAAGGAAATATATACTTTGTAAAATGCAACATAGTGCTGGAGCAAGGGTGAAGCCTGAAAGGTTTATAAGAAGCCCTTTTTCAAACCAACTTATGATCATTATGCAGTTAAAACGATTGAAGAAAACACTGATATAACAAGTCTGATACAGTAATTTCAGTTTTTGTGGATAGTGGAATAGATAATACATTAAATGTACAGTAATGAATAATAAGTGACCAAGCTGTGAGTATTTTCTGTTGCTTTCTTCAGGTATGACTTCCTCCTCGTGTCCCAACACCCTACACTGGTTGAAACTGAAAGACAGCATTATGGTGATCTATGCTAGCTTCAACACCAAGGTTTAAATCTGTGCATCTGTTCTCTTGTCTTCCCTTTCAGGTATGACTTCTTCCTGGTGTCTCAGTCTGTGCGCCAGGGAACGGTCACTCCCTGCCACTACAACGTGGTGTGGGACACCTCCGGCCTCAAGCCTGACCACATGCAGAGGCTCACCTACAAGCTCTGCCACCTCTACTACAACTGGCCCGTAAGTGTGTGTGTGAGTCTGTCTGTCTGTCTGTCTGTGCATGTGTGGAGTGTGTGTGTGTGTGTGTGTGTGGGTGGGTGGGTGGGTGCGCACCCGCAGAGTTGAGTGCCGCTAGTTTTTCTGTGCCAATGGAAGGGTTGCAAAGCAGTAGGGGTAAGGGGGTGAAGTCTGCCATCTCTATTTACCTTGTTGTAACATTTTATGTTTTTAATTGTGCATTTCAGGGCACCATCCGAGTGCCTGCCCCGTGCCAGTACGCGCACAAGCTTGCCTTCCTGGTGGGACAGAGCATCCACAAGGACCCCTCACTCAACCTGGCCGACCGCCTCTACTTCCTGTAGGTCACAGGTCACGACCCAGGTCAGGGGTCAACCTGGCATCTACTTCCTGTAGGTCAAAGGTCACAACCTGGGTCATGGGTCATGGGTCAGAGTTGAGAGCCAGACAACCAGGTGGCAGGAAGAGCCACGCAGGCAGCTGATGTTCCTGTTCGCGTTGTTTTGTAGAGAGTTCTGTAGTGTTAGGATGGTCCGTTGACCATTAGTAATCATGTATACCTGCCAAAGAAACGTTGTTGGTGCTTAACTAGAGAAGGCACGTTTGTGCCGTTTAGAGAAGGCGACGCAGAAAAGTTACTAACCAAGGGAGACTTGTTGATAACAGTTTAAGCAGTGGATAGTGCACAGATCGAACAAAACATACAGAGGTTCAGAGGTATGTCTTTGAAACTTGATTTGAAATTCCCAGTGCCTTTTAAGTCCTATGGAGACAAGTGTTCCTTTTTTTTTCTTCTTAAGTTCACTCTGATTTGTTTAAGTTCAAATTGCTACCAGCTCCTTTCTGTGCATGTGAGGAAAGGAAAAACTTCAAAACCTCAACATGAAAAAGCAGCAGGTAAAATTTCTATGCAGACATGCTTTCAATAACTGTTAGTCTCTCCAATAAGTTGCATAAATCCCTTTTTGTTTGCAAGAAGAAAATTGGCAGGAACCAAGTACTTTTTTTCACTTCTAGAGATATGATAGCATATTTCTTGGTTTACCTTCTCCCTGCTGCCTCACCCCATAACCAATACAAGTTTGGTGCCAAACAGCTACCCTAGAAGGCTGAAAGTTAAAGCTGTAGCATTCCAAGATTTCTTTCTTATTTCTTTTTGCCACAAGGCTACAAAATGAAGGTTGGTGAGCATCTTTAATTTGTTTTAAGCAGAGTTGAACAAGGAAGTGCCTAAAAAAGAAAAAAAATTAACGAAAGTACAAACTAGTATTCCATTGATTGTCCAACATTTTTGTTGACTTTTTGTCTCCGTAAGCCAGTTAACACATATTCATTTTTTGTTCTTTCTTTAAACAGAAAAAAATTACAAAACTACAAACTGCAGAGTATTCCACACCATGATAAAGAGGATGTCTAACATTTTTGTTGACTTTTTGTCTCCCTAAACCAGTTCACCCATAATCGTTTTTCTTTTGTTAGACAGATGATTGGACAACGTTGATGTCTATTTGACGAGGCTCACAAGTATTCTTGATTTCGCCAAACCCTTACATTCCAAAGGCAGTTTGTACTTAAGAGCAAATACACTATTGAACACTTTTGGGACCAAGCAGTTTGCTGGTTATGCAAGTAGTGGATTTTCATATCTTGAGGGAGTAACTTCTTCATTCTTTAGAAGCCTGTTTTCAGAATGCCAAAAAACAGTTACCAAGCAGCAGCTACTACTGTTTTCAGAATGTTGACTGAGTAGTTATTGGAGCTAAAAAGACCGCAATCCTTTGTTGATGTGTGCGGAAGAAAAGACACAAGATAGCAGGGAGAGAATCTGGCAGATTTCCTTCACATTTTCTTTTGTTTCTATGATCAGACAGCCACAACATGGAAGCAAAGGCTGGCATATTTTCTGTATTTGTTCTGTACCTTAGACTAGTTTTCTCTTTTTGTTTGTTTGTTTGAAGAAGGAAAGATATATCTAAAGGGACCAAAGTGAAGAGATCATAAAACAACATATATTTTGTATTACTACTTTTCTTTATTAAAAGTTTTCATGACATATGGCTCCTGACTCTTCCATTTTTGTTTATTTTTGACTCTACCTTATACCCTTGCATCTAGTCTATGAAGTACATGCCTATCTATACAAATATCAATGTTATAAGCAAAGGTCTTTACTTTTAAAGGATCACCACAATACTTTCTGTCATGCCTAAATAACAGTACAGAGTATCTTTTTCACAGTCTAGTTACCCTGGAATCCAAACTCGCTGTCCGGGCCGCAAAAGCCCTTCGCCCGCTGGTGTAAATTACCGCTACGGGGGAGTCTAGCCCGGGGGGAGGTTGGCTGGCCGGACCAACGAGTTCTAGGGCCAGCCAACTCCCATCGGGCTCAACTCCCCCGTAGCGGTAATTTAGGCAGGCGGGCGAAGGGCTCTCGGCTGCCGAAGGAAAAAGGCTAACGGCCCGATACTAGTTTGGCATCCAGGGTACAGTCTAGTCTGATAGTTTCAGTCATACAGTTCTTACACATGTACATACATGTCTAACTATGAGAAATATATACTTGGATATGATACAAAATATACACTACAGAGAATGATTTAATCTTCAATCTTTTCGATTTTTTTCTAGTGTTGCGGTGAGAAAATCTAGATGGTACCTAGGCTAGATGACTATTGAGAAATACCATAAAATGTTAATATATGTTTGACAGTTTGGCCAATAAAGAACAAAATCATTGGTTTTCTCAGCTAAAAAGAAAACCTAATTATATAATAAATTCTACATCATGTTTATACACTTCCTGATGAGTGTATTTTGAAACCAGATCACAAGAACTACAAAGTTGCACTACCTAGCTTGCACTATCTCAGTCACATGTAGTAATTTTAGATTGCCCTACAACTACTTAATAATTCACCAGTGCACCTACTTCAACTATAGTCACAACATTTTCCCACTGTTACTCTGAGAAGGCAGACATTTCAAAGAACAAATATATATATACTGTGTATCTATAGGTAACATAGATAAAGCACTAAGTCCTTACAATAATGCACACAATTTTGTGACAATGTATATACATGTATATATGTCTGTGAGGAATGTTTTGTACATCTATAGTTACTGTATACTACATGTATACTGTCTTCACAATAATCAAAGACTAAAACACAAAAAGTCGTGTATAAAAAAAGACTGACATTTTGGCCATGTGACACAAGGAACATCACAGGCACTAACACTTAAAATCTTTCTTTAGAATTCATGGAAGCACTTTAAGATACGAAAAAGGTTTGCTTTCCTAACTTTGCATTCAAAATCAAGATTTTGCTGTGAAAAGTCACGTTGGCAAACTTTGAAAAGTGCAAAAAATGCAAGATAGCTTTCCACATAAATAAATGTACAAAAAGGGCATACATGTAAATATTACTAACATTGTCAAGTTGCAAACAAGGTGGACAAAAAAACTGAAGATATTGCACCAGGTTTTGAAATATGGTGACTTCCACAGCACAAGTGCATGATGGGATACCTCTTCTTCAGTCTTTCCAGTACTGCTGAAATACCGTAATCTGCGGGAGCGAACGTAGGGACATGTTTTTTTATGTGTCGATATTTACCACAATGTATTGTGGAAGGATTGACAAAAGAGTTAACTGTCATACATACATGTATTTTTGAGATGTCAACCCTGAAACCAGACTGTAAGGTTTGAACCAAAAGGTTATACCGGCTATACAGATACACCAGGAAGGACCCCTACTTTTTGGTAAGTGCGATGGGATCTTTAACGTGCTCAAGGTGTGTCTCTCCTCAAACATGGGACATTTGGCTTTACGTCCTATCCAAGAAGACATCCCTAACCAAAGATAGGTACTAGTATTCATTTTCCCTGAGTCTAGAGAGGAGAAGGGTTTTAAGTGTCTTTTCCAAGGACACAACACTGCAGGAGCCTGCCAGGAATCGTTTCAAACCAATTCGTGATAAACGAATTGACTTATATTATGGAAAGGACTACCAACAACTACTCTCGACCCCATGATATGCCTCTCAGAATGTAGGAAATTGCATTTTTAAAGGCTTAGAAATAAATGTACAAAATTTGCCCCCAGACCCCCCCTAGATTGTAAGCACTCTCCCCCTAGGTCTGATCTGGAACCTGGGCTGACGGAGAAAAAAATTTGAACTGACCTTATCCTTGAGTTGTTGACAGAGCTGAAGCCCGACTGTGAAGTAGGTGATGACATCGTTCAGCCACGGTACGGCCACCTCCACCTTGTTAGCCTGCACCACCTCGTACTTCTGACTACTCAGCTCACTGCACGGGTACATGGGCAAAAATGAATGTATTTCCATATAACAGTAATAAGCTTTATAGGGGTGTCAGAACATGGAACCTTCCTTACACCTCCAATTTGTTCGCCTGCACTACCTCGTACTTCTGACTACTCAGCTCACTACATGGGTACATGGGCAAAGATTTCTTCTAGATATCTGTGAAAACCAAAGTAAGGCCTAGGAAAAAACTTTCCTGATTCGGTCCTTAAAAAATTTGTGTCAGTAGGTACTGTAGGGATTATCCTTTTTTACATTTCAGCGCATGCGCGCTGAAATGTAATAAGACGGAATCTATCCTTCTTTGTTTCTTTCTTTCTTTGGTAGTTTGGTAACTCTGCAGGCCATGCAATACCTGTTTACTTCTTTCCGTTTTGTGGGATATGCAATAGACTTGCTGCAATTTTAATCCATGTTCTTTACAAAAAGAAACTTTATGTAGTAACAGTCTCATCTAGTGACATACCATTGATTGAAGTACGGTTACATAAGTTTTTATGCGCTAATTTATTGATCGTACTACAAATCTAAAGATGATTGCATAAATTATGTTAATGACAGCAATAATGCCGCCTGTCGCTAGATGTCGTTGTTGCATGTCCTGGCGAAGTTTCTCTATTATGTTTGCACTTTTATGTTTTCCTGTTGCATTGTTCTTACTCAGGAATGTCAATACGTTTGATACTTACTCTTTTTAAAAACGGGCTTTCATGTTCAATCATAATTCGCTCGGACCTGCCCAATTTTCTCGGATGGCTATATATAGTATGTTATTTAGGCTGCTTGACAATGACATAATGAGATAGCTCAACGAGTAGAGTTGCTAAACGGGTGGCGTGCACGTGGCGGGGTCTGGACATTGAGAGTTCGATCCCCGGTGAGGAACTTTTTTTTTAATTTTCTTTTTTTTAATATTTTTTTTTTAAATTTTCTTTTTTATATATATTTTTTATTTTCTTTTTTATTTTTCGT